CCCCAAAACCCCAAAACCCCAAAACCCCAAAACCCCTTTAGAGGTGAAGTTTATTGAAAATAAACATATATTATAACAGGAAGGGGAAGGATCATGAAAATAATTGAATATATTGAGGCAGACAACAAGTACAAGTGCTTGTCATGCAAAGCTCACTTATCAGCAGTAGACAGTGTTGTATCTAAGGTAAGTTCAATAATATTTGAGCTAAATAACACTTGAGATGAAGTTTCTGGAATAAAATTATCTATTTTTCAGCAATTTTTCTGAAATGCTGTATAGAAATGTTGGAGAAGATTATTGGTCTACCAAGCAGCCTAGGGAAGCTACTGCTTCCCTATGCTGCTGGTATAGAGCAAGTGCTTTATCTCTAGCAAACAAATTCTGCATTTTACTTAAAATTTCAAATTTTGTTATATTTATTTGAGAATATCTCTTTGAGTAGAAATAGACAGGGTCTTGTTGTATATGCATTTTGTAAATATTAGTTTGAGGAAATTAAAGAGTTCCTGCATATTTTTAATTTCCGCAATTTTTTAGAAAATTGATGATGCTATGCTCTGAGCAAAGAATATTATCATTTAATTTGGCTGTCTTCTAGACCAGCTAAAAGAGCTAATTGACAGTATCATCTCCTACTCGCATCAACCTACTAGAAAGCTTGAGCTTCTCTGTTTTCAATAATAGAAGTTAGTGGATCATTCCTTGAGAAGCTCTCTTATTCTGGTTACTTAATCTGAATTTAGGAATTCAAAGGAAGCACAGGTGTAGCATACTTGATTGAAGATGTGTAAGATACTCTTGGATTATTTTAAGGGTCAATACGTTTGATGGAACCTCCGAAGAAAGAGAGTTAATGTCAGGTGTCCATGTCGTGTGTGACATTTTCTGTGTGAAATGTTATAGCTATGTTGGTTGGAGATACGTAAGTGTTTGAAACTTAAATTATAGCTCAAAGCTTACAGGGAAGACCAGAAGTATAAGGAAGGCAAATTCATCCTTGAAAGAGCTCTCCTATCCAAGGAAACCTCATAGGATTTACTCATTGCAAAACTGTTGCTTTCTAGAAGTAAAGATAATCTGTTTTAATCAAATTTTAGAACTTATAAAGTATCTTCTAAATAAAATCAATGGGATGGTTTCAATCTATTCATCGGCAAGGGGTTTTGGGGTTTTGGGGTTTTGGGGTTTTGGGG